GTTACTGACTTACTTGTTTGACATCCTTGGATTGGATAAAGGATAAAGCTAAGAGTAAGGAATCTTTGGATTCCAGATCAATTATCATATTGAAGACTAGGCAGCATGGTCTCCGACCTTAGCCTGTTCCACAACGGAACAAACATACATAAAAAAAAAGGAATCTTTGGGATAAAAACAAACAATTTATACAATTTAAGAATATACCTATAAAGAGAAACGGATAAATAATAAAATGCTTGATAGAGTAGTCCCTTTTATTAAGTCACAACATTAAAAGGAAAAAAAAGACAAAGACAGAAACAAAAAAAAAAAAAAACAAAAGATGATAGAAAATAAATAGGTAGGTACCTACTTAGAAAAATATTGTGGCTAGTGCGCCACACCACTTTCCAGTGAGATTGTAAAGCTCACAAATCAAGGACTTTCCTAAAACGAACCTTTCTTTCAAATCTAGTGACCAGCTCAGCAACTTGCAAGATTTACAAGATAGCGGTGCCGACAGTACAAGAGCGGAATATAGAGAAACAAGGCAAAAGAATAGACCGCGTGAAGGGACGCCGTGATGAGTAGTATCTATTGCTAAATGATTATCAACCGCATTCAAGCCTGACAATATCCGCCTCCAGTAATTGACGTCAGTTAATTCGAATATTTCACTAACACGATGGGCGACGAACAACGATCGGCTTAGAACGATCGCTGTTAGAACGACGCCAGCTTAAAAGAGTCCTTAAGTCAAACCAGAGTGTTACGTTTGCTTCGACGTATTTCAAAATATGAGTTATATATATGTACGTAATATGTGCTAGACTAAGACTTAACAAGGCAGCCTGTAATTCGAGGTGTGAAATGCTCTTCACTTTGAGTAGTGCGACATAAGCACTTGTTATGACAAATGCTATATGCTAACTACCCTCTGTCATCTTGACATGTACATATACAACGCTCACATAAGCCTTACTGCTTGCAACAGAAAATATGTAAATTTTCGGTACTAAGTCAGCAGTTTGTTTGTCACATGTCAGTAAAAAGTCAACGAGGAAAGTCTAAAGTCGCTGATATTTTCTGATTCCAGCAGCTACAACTGCCATTTCTCGAAATGAGTTGTTTTGACTTTTTTCATCCTAGCTGATTTTGAATTTCCATACATTTTTCAAGAGTGCCCCTTCATCGTGACATAAAAGAGAAAACCCAATGAATCAAATATGGACATCGTCAGTTTCAATATATCATGCTTGGTTGGTTAGACCCCAGTCTTAACGTCTCCGTTCACTTAAGGAAGCTTTAATAAAAAGATGAACTCATCATATTCCTGATTGTAATACATTCCAAGTACACATTCCACCACCACGGTTATTCTTGGAGTCGGAGAGGATCTGCAGGCTCCTCGGAGCAAATTTATCTAAAGGTAAATATTCCAGAAGTGTTTGAAAATTAGAGACAATATTCCTTATACTGAAGCCCCCTGCAGCTGAATACACATTACGTTATGCACTATGCGTACCAAGTCATTCTCACCATCAAAGATGTGGATGTAATCGTCGACGTAATTGTGGTCTAGAATTACTTTGACAGCTTTAGGGTGAGTCGCCTCATATCTGCATGCATCCGAACAAAGATTTGTTCTTAGGATAATGGCGAACAAACTGCACTAAAAGTCATGACATTCATTTCATAACATAAACGTCATTATTCTAGAAGAGTCTTTGGGCATGTCGCTCATCTTCCTTAACACAGGTTGAATTTTATTTAAAATGTAACCTTGCTGATTTAGGACGGTTTATAATATAGTATATAATATTGTTATTTAGTTTATAATATTGCGGCCGATTCTGAAGGGCTTTTTCTCTAAACCTATTTTTATACTAATATTTTAATTTGATAATTTCGCGAAATTATTATTTTATGGACTAACGGTCCATTATGGACTATCATAAATTTAAAATTATAATAATTTCGACTTAAATCTATTACAAATTTACTTCATATTGGTCCTTATAATAAAAATTTCACTGTGATATCGAATTCGATATCGATAGCGAATTGATAACGAATGTGAAATCGGTAAGGATTTCTATTAATACGTAAGTACCTAAGGTGAATACGTGATACTCCGTTTATGATCATTACCTATTTAGTTTGTGTTCAACTCAAACCTTAATGAAAAGATTACCGAGTCTTATTGAAATTATCATAAAATATTATCTAAATGAAATTAGCAATAAATCAAAACATTCAACCAATTAATCAATCTTTGATCTGTACATCAAGAAATTGTTTCATGGTTCGGTCATGTTATTGGTTTATATGTATATATTTTTATTAAAATTCTGCTGAATTGACTATATAGGTAGTATATATAATATTGGATAAGCCATAGTAATTATATACCTGAGACATTTTAGGTTTCCTATTCATATTATCGGCTTCCTGTCCATATCTCTAAAAAATCACGTAACTATTATATGATCCGTGACGCGACAAATGATTTTTTCTAATAAATAACACTTTTTAGAGAAAAGGATAATGCCAAGAACTGTTAGGTGGTTAATTACTCATATTTCGGACCAACGCCATATATTTGACAATATTATAAATGCGCAAACCTGCATTTGAGAATCCCATATTAATAATGCTTCTTCTATTTATCTTTTTTTAGGTCAACTCTACCATTATAGTTATCCACTAAGTCAGGGTTTTTTAAACGTATCCCAGTTAGGCATTTTAGACTATAGCAAACTGCTTAAAAAACTGACTATAACATATAAAGATTTTTTTCTATTAAAAAGCTAAAGAGGTACAAAAGGAAATAAATATTATTTCTATTATTTTGTCAATTTTGTACGACAAGCATGCTTAATTTTTAGTGCAAGTGATATCAATATCAATCAATTCAACAAATCAATGGTCAATGATTTCAATTTCTACCTGTTATGTACTATGTAATCACTATTCATCATCGTCATTATCGTATCAGCCTTTAACAGTCCACTGCTGAACATAAGCCTCCCTTTATAGGGCTATAAGAGATCTCTTGCCTTCCTTTAGTCGTCTCTTACGACACCCACGGGAAAGGAAGGGGTGGCCTATTTATTCTATGCTGGGATCACACGGTCATTAATCACTATTAATATCTATTTATCATTAACGAACCACGTTACGTACACCACTCAACAAATGCCTCTGTTACTCCATTTTGGTTTTGAGCCTACATTTTTTTTGGTGGGAACAACACTACTGAATTGAGACTAAAACATGAACACAGACACACATCTGTTACAATATTCCCTACTATGGAATAATCTTATAAACCACAGAGACTATTTTTACAACATTATTTTTAATATTAAGTATTCAAGTTAAAGTTTAAGTCCATTAAAATCTATCTCATCATTGTAAATGTGAGTGTACAAATATGAAATATAAATTAAAGATCCCGTGCATAAAAAATTGATAATATACAAAAGTATATTCCATATTGCTTGCAAAAAGACTTTTTAAAATTAGTTCATAAGGCAAATATATTAGCCACAACTACCTACTTACCCTAGCAAATTCATTGCTATTTTTACAGTCAAGTAAATTTAAAATGAAAATATCATATTTGTTGTCTACGCACGTACATGCTACGTACTTACGTAGAAGCCCTAATTCGGAAAAAAGACTTCAACGCGACTGTTCCCAATAATCCCAGTTAATAAGTAGATAATAGTAAATTATATTTACAATAAAATCATTTATCATATCAGTTAATTGCCCACTGCTAAACAGGCCTTCCGAATAAGGGGATTTTGCTAGTAGATGCCACGCTTTACAGGTGGGTTGACTACCGCAGTTAGGCTTTTGGTGATGTTTTAATAAAGATGTTACTGCCCATTCACAACTATAAATTCAATATTTATTTGAGTATTTATGGATTTATGGAAAATAAATTTGTATATTTAATTGTAGTAATGATTATTAAAAATCAGAAATATATTGGATTTATGAAAATATTATAAAGTATCTGAAATTATGAATAGCTTCTTAAGGTCGCCCATTATTTTCTTACTGAGATCATTTCTTATAACCGTTTGTACCTATAATAAGTTTATTATTGTAATCTTTTAAAGGAAACTATAAAAAGTATCTATCTATCTATCTATGAAAACATATAATCTATCATCTCAGTGTAGTAGTTGACATGTGAAATCAAGGTGCTCTACTCGAGCGCTGTGAAGGCTAAAATCGAAACTTATTAGAAAACATTATAAAGGCTAACTACTGAATCGATTTTAAGAAAACTTTGTAAAGAGAATCTAAAATTCAAGAACGGACTAAATATAGGGCTTTAAAAAGTTAGCGCAAATAAAAGTATGATAGAAACATCGCCGAAACTGAAATGTAGTCTATTTATATGATGTACTCATACTTAATATTCCAGACAATAAATATAATCTAATATATATATATATATATACTAAATTACGTTTAGTATATAATATTTTATATATTTTCAATACTTACTCTCAATTTATATTTGAGGGATTGCAGTATAAGCAAGTGTTATGAAAATACGCATTGCGTAAAACATTGATTTGTCATTAATGTTAACCGTCAACAAATTAAGCCGCGGGTTGGTAGGTAGATGCCTCCTTTCGCCGCTTGCACGCTCACCTGGCTGCTTAATAACGAGCTTTGTATATAAGTTGAACCGTTGTGATGAGGTGCCACTCCTTGTCCCATGAAATATAAGTGCGGAGTGCAACTAGGTCAAACCTGTAGCCCTCACAACCCTGTTGTAATGTAATTTAGATCTATGCCGCAAGCTCCAGAGTTATTTGGTTTTAATTCTTAGTCCAGAGTGAGATTGCTGTACATTCCCTCACGATTGAATATTCATTGTGTGAGACTGCAAGACCATGTGTGTAAATGAAGGCTTTGCTTTCTGAGGCCTGAGCAGTGGGCAGGCGGGAGGTGCCAGGCAGGCGCGCGTGCGCGCGGGGGCGCTAGCGTCGCCCTCGAGCCAGTACCGTGCGCGTCTCCGTATCTGTAGCACTTGTGTATTGTAGACGTGCCCACCTGACGCCGACAACCGAAAACGAACTGTATGAATTAACCATGGTTCGACGGAGCATTTCTTTCGGAATGGTGTTTTATTAGTTGTTTATGTGATAATCACCACATCGTGTGTTAAATTTGGACACCAAAACAGTGGTAAACAACCGGTCCAGATAGGGAGGCTGTGCCGGTCTCACGCCCGTGCCCGACTACAGAGGAATGCGGCAATTTTAACTACTGCGGTGCCCGGGAACATTCACGGTTAGGGATCGGCCGATTACTGTCTGTCCAACAACAAGGTAAGCAGTTATTCGACACATACAAATTTCAAAAAATATAACTGACGTAAAACATGAGTTTACTACATGATAATATGACACGTTCCATTCGCATCTCTCTACCTAAAACTAGAATCATGCAGATGATTGCATGATGCTATATACCTATACAACGTTAAATAGGTATTAACCTAGTTATATACCTATATAGCTTACAAAAACCAATAAGTAAAAAATATTACTTGTTCTGTAAATTTAACTAATGATCTATAAATCTATTTACTTATTAATTTTATAATGATTTGTAAAATAGAGCACGCATACGTCTCGTGTTTTATATGCTTCATAAATACTATATAAACTGTATATATTAAGTCCATATAGAATTAAATACATACGAATACTATCTATTTGTTGTAAACCTACAATTATACTACTACACATATGTCACAAATTTCATAACGCTATTACCGCATTGTTGTTAGAATAGAGTAAATCAATATCTATATAAAAAATGGTAACGATAAAATTTTCGAAGGAACTACTTACACGTAGTTGTTCTCTAATAAATTTGATAAGCTTAAAAAACAACAAGGGCAACGCCCCGTTGCTTATCACAAAGCTGTAACGGAAATTATGTCACGGCGTGTAAGTAAAGTGATTTGCCTTTAGTTTTTCTTTATATATGATAGAATTTATGCAATCTGATACGTGTAAGTATTTTCACTAATTAATTGTTTCTGGCTTCGTTGAATGTATCATGCATCACTATTAAAAATGTATGAAACAATACATCAAAACGTATCGTAACTTTATCCGAATAATAAAATTGTGTTACGTTTAAAATTGCGAAACGTTCGTAATGTCAGATCAAGTACACGGCGGATTAAGTAAGATGGATCACTTTCTTCGCGGCCAGCATTGATTCGTGCCAAGATCTATTCAGACTGCTCTCAATTTCTCACGGTGATGGTGGTGAAGTCTGGGAACAAAAAATACTAAATTGCTAAATCTATTGTCACATATTTTAATTCCGTTTCTATTTGCGAGCTAGGTAAAATTGTTTTCAATCGACTTCAGAAAAGAGATTCTAATTTTATTGTGTATGTGTGTGTTTTACGCGATATCTTTGCCTATTCTGAATTGATTTTGTTGTTTATATTTGAACGAACGTATTTCTTTGGTGCTATTTGTTATGGAACAAAATTCAAAATTATAGTTACTTGTCATACATACATACATATACACGTTCCAATAATTTTTCTTAACATCTATCTTACAGGTATCAGCACTTAAGAATTATAAATATCTTTGCAAAATTATGGTATATTTCATTTATATATTTATTTTCGATTTAATTTATCTAGACATGCCGTGTGATCCCGGCATATAATGGACTCCCCTTCTTCTCCCGTGGGTGTCATAAGAAGCGACTAAGGGAACCTAATGATCCAAGGATGGACAGCGACGTCCCTCTTGAAACATCACCAAAAGCCAGGCTGTAGTTGCTAATCTGCCTGCTAAACGTGGTAACTACTGGCAAAATTCTTCTAATCGTAAACTGCCATAAGGAATGGTAGTCTATGGAGGAGTCTTATGTTCAGCAGTGGACAGGAACTGATAACACGATGATGATAATCCAGATATTATAATTATTTTTCTGTTCTTTATTGGGCTTTCTACTACCTACTCGTAGTTGCTAGGATTGTATGACAATGACACACTATTATTATATTACATTATAGGTATATTAATGCGTAGATAGATGTTATCATGAACAGAAAGTTATGTAGGTGGATGGGTATTTCCAACTGAATGCCTTTTATATACTTTCTTTAAATAAACATTATCACTAAAAGTCATCGTCAACTGAATTGCCACTTTCTGGATTTCATTTTAATATTTCTTAGTATTTTCTTTAGTCTTTCACATTATAAATAAATATAAAATCTAAATTTCATTGCCTAAAAGTAGATTAAATAAAAAAAATATAGGTAGATACTTCACGCCTGTCTTCCATTGGAGTAGACAGTTATAATAGAATGCCAAATGGTCCAATTTCAAACAATCCTTTTTCCCCTCCTCCACAATAATCAATTAATTCATTAAACTTGGCCCTTTTTCAGTATGTCACCTATTTTTATTTTGATGGGTGAAAATGGTATGGTAACCCCGACTGCGCTAACGTGATACGCTGGCGGAGCACCAGTGAAGGGTGATAGATGAAAATGAAAACAGGTCAGTTAGCCCATCATGATGAATTCATCAGGCATTAACCATGATAGTTGCCAAGGAGAACCGCGAGGAGGTCGACCTGGTTGGGTATATTGCTAGCAATGGGATTCTCAGTCTCCATTACTAATAATCCCTTTCCCCCAATATCACCTATTTGGACGACGTAAATCTAGTGTGGTCTCTTTTATTTTGGTTAATAAAATTATTTAAATAAATAAATATAATACATTGTTAAATTCATATCTGTCTCATAGTTACTATAATAAAATATAAAGCTAAATATATGACTAAATGTATTCCCAGGTGATATTCAATAGTGTCATTAGCATAGGTGTATTTAAAGGGGAGCCAAGTGGGTCATGCCTATCTCAGAACTATCTAGTGGCCACAGCAGGATGCGAATGGAGTTTCGCGAAAACAAAACTAAGGAAACATGTGAGCATTTTATAAGAGCAAAATTTAAGATTTAAGTTAGGGGGAGTCCTAAAAATAAACTTAGACCAATGGTCGCCAGCTGTTACCACAGACAAATAATACACCCAATATTTAATTAATATAAAACATATTATTATACAATATATATAAGGTAGATAATGTGAGTATTATATGTATGTTATTTATATCTGTTATTTTTATACAAATATACATATATAATTAAATAATATGTAAATGTTTTCATTATTTATTTCCATATTTACGTTGCACCGTCAATTAATGTAAATGCCATATGGTATTAAGTCCGCCATTTACATTGTCTTCGTGTATTTCTATTTAATAAATAAATTTTCCAATAATTTATTTATTTTTTTATTATTTATTTTGCTAAGTAAAAAAGACTCAAAAAATGTATTCAACCAATAAATAAAAACTGTAAAAATGACTTCAACTAATAAATCACGAGCTATAAAAATTACTTCGACAGGTACAAATGAAATAGTTTTCGATGACACATTAATGGCATTTTTTAAAATATCTTATAAGTTATCTGGATTAAAATACGTTGGTATTCATACTGTTTTATCAATTATATGTTTCTTATTTTATATATGTTTCTAATTTGTTTTGTTATTATTTTTACATAAACCGAACTCATTTTATAGTCTGTATTTTTAACAACATTTAAAAAATTCATATATAAAAATATGATATAGAGACATTTAAGAAAAAACAAGAATAATTAATTTAGTAAAAGAGACATTATGTATTGTTATGATTTTATTGGCGATGGTCCTAAGTAGATTGCTCAAGTAGATATATATATATATATATATATATATATATATATATATATATGTATATATATATATATATATATATATATATATATATATATATATATACATATATATATATATATATATATATATACATATACATATACATATATATATATATATATATATATATATATATGTATATGTATATATATATATATATATAAAATATAAAAGTTTAAACTTGTTTAATACCTACTAATCTTATCGTACTAATATAAAAAAAACTGTATATTACATGAGAGACGACAAGGAAAAATTTATTGTCTTAATACAAATAATAGAAGCCAAAACAATAATATTCAGAAATATTGTCTGTTCGTATGTTTGTTCCGGCATCATGCAAAAATTACTTCACTAAATTAGATGCTGTTTTCACAATTATATTCCTGAAGGTCTACTCGTAACTTAAAATATCAAGATAAAGCATACACTAGATTTTAGCTACCTATAAGTAGTCTATTGCACTGATTTTCTTATTTCCAGAAGCGGGCACATATCTAGTAAAATATAATAATTATCTTAATCGTTACAAATAAAGAATTATAATTAATAATGTATTACAATATATTAATAATGAATTACAAATAATTATGTTTAGCGATTAATATTTTCATCCTAATCGAAATATCTGTAAATTTATTGTTTTTCTTGTCGTAATAATTAGGAAAGACTTCTTTCCACAAGCAACGGAATGAACTTTTTATACTAACAGAATCAACCGAGCATATCACGTATATACATATAATGTGACTCTTCTGTCTACGAACCTAGGAGATCGAACGAATTGGGTGGTCGTTGTTCCAAAAAAAGTTCCCAGATGGTACCTGCATTATTCTATTAAGGGATTGAGTTAATTTAACTACCCTGCGAACAAAGTCGCGGTGGTACCTAATTGTAATGAATAAACAGAATTTGAAATGGTATACACAGGTATCCCAAAAGGAGACATTCGATTCACGGTCGAGAGGCAAAGATGGCGATTGTCGTCGATATCTACGTAATACCGCTACGGGTGGCTGTGCTCCTGCCGTGCCTTTCAAATTCAAACGCTATTATTGTCATTCTCTTTCAAGAATCAGTAAATGTCTCTGTATTGTCGCACCTTCACCCAAGTTGCTGCTTATTTAAATATTCCATTCTGAAGGCGTTTTAAAATGAAGCGAATACCTGAAATAATAGCAACGTTTGCTGTACATATTTTATTAATTTAAAAAGAAATATGACATGAATATTGAAGACATTGTTTCCGCAGTTATATAATAAATACGAAACTTTATTATGATAGAAAAGAAAAAAAACTGTGAATGGACATAAAACATAATGATTTAGTAGTCGCTAGCTATGGTCGATTAGCGCCTTGAGTTTTTTACACACTATCCTGTCTAACAAGAAACGACAGAACATTCACGTGGGAAACCCAAATAAACCTACCCATTTAAGAAATTCATTTAGTGAACTTACAAATGTTGACTTAGTAATAAAATAACATTCATAAGATCCATTCAAATATAAACTGAATACGTGCTCTAATTATACAATTAATATTTGTGACATTTCTCTCACAAAGTTTATAGTAATTTGAACATTTATTGTTTTGTAGTGTAAAATCTTTATTTCACATAATTTACATTGAACACATTAAAGATTAATATATAATGACGAACTTATCCCATAGAGGGTTTCTCTTACAGTCATATTTATATTTGTTACTTTTATTTGTCCTAAACAGCTGTACCGGTTTTTAAAAAAATTGTTACAGAGATGGTTGTATTCTCGATATAAACGCAAAATAGGATACTTTTATCCTATTCAATGCCAACGAAGCTCCGGTTTAGTTATATCTAGTATATAATAAATGTAGAAGAAAGTTGTTTTATGTTGAAAGTTTATATGGACGTCCTTACTCCTCGTCGCGCAGTCAGGGTGAAGTTAACGAGCCGCGTCCGTGGGTAAGGGCCAGTACACATCCATATTTGAAAACCTACCGAGCGTGGATTGCGCATAGGCAACGCAGATAAAACCTGCAGGGTTTTGTGTAGCATTTGTTTGCTCCAACAACTTCTTACGTAGTACCTATGTTAACTTGTTGGGCAAAAATTTATAAAATACATAAAAAATATTTTTTGTGACATAACGTATAATAAAAATTTGGTAACTTTTTCTTCACACTTTAAATATAAATATTTATCTACTCTATTCGTAAAAAAATTTAATAATTTATCTTTGAAAATTACACTATTCTTAAGTAAAAGGAACCCGGAGACTTGAACAGAACTCGTAACCATTTCTCACAGGTTATAAGTTCTTTCTCTATTAGATTTTAAGTCTCCACTACTACAAAATAAGTACCTCTATAAGTTATGGGCATATATCTATTCATCAAAATAGTCATAGTGTTGTTTAAAATTTAAACGATACATTAAACCTTTTCCCTTTATTTCTAAAAACCGAAACCTACCATAAACCTATTTTAGCTATTGAACTGTATTGTCACATTATTTTAAATTAGAAATATAGCATAAAAGAAAGAGACAAAACAGTTCAATAGCTAAAATAGGTTTATGATATGTGTGATATTTTTATGAATAAGAGCGTATGTCTTTATCAAACTGAATTAAGGATTACGAGTATGATATATATTATGACCCAAGCCTCGTTCCCACCATCTATACTAGGACCGAGTGTATTAAACTTCGTGTATAATTTTCGTAATTACAAACATTGAAAGAGAAGAAACGACAATGAAATTAAAAAGTATCATCATTAATATTGTACTGTAGTTGTGTTTTATAACAAAATTATAAATATTCGTATTAATTTTGTATGGCCGACATATTAATCGAATTGTCTAGTAGGTACTATGTACGGTGTACGGTGACTTCTTAACATTACACTTCACAATATAATAGACACTTTTTACAAGTCCATATCAAAAAGGGATCCTATTGTTATGATAACCATGTCCGTCAGTCTGTCAGTTACAGGTCCCTAAATCTATATGAAATAAGATAAGAACATAAATGAATTCACAATATAATATATTATGCAAATGTGAAGAAAAAAAGACTTACCTGTGCATGTACAATGCAAACCCATTACCAAGTAATGCATAGTGCTGTTTAAGTAGATTATGAATGTGATGAAATAAGTTTTTATTTTTGACTAGTACGGCTTTGGACGGATGAATCACGATAAACAATAAATATGTTATGAATTAGGGCATTCTTTTTTTAAGGGTGATGGGTATATTAATAAAATGGTATAAAAAAATACCATCTCTCCATTCCATATAACAACCTACTTCAATTACACAAGCAGTAAACAAACAAGCTCACTATTATATCTGTAATATTAGTAAGGATATATGCAAGATAGTAGGATTACTATGATAAAACTGGGACTTATTGAATTCAATCAATAGTGACAAGATTAGTATAGAACTACGAAATATGTACAATGCCCATTGATAGCACAACGAAACATTAAAGCACGTTCAAATTAGCGAAGATATCAAATAACATACAAAAATACAGTCTAATTGAGAATCTACTCTTCTTTGAAATCTGTTAAAAAAAGGCATAGGTTATATATAGGTTCTTCAAAAGGGGGGCAAAGAGAATTCTTCAGGGTCGGCAATGCGTGCGTAATTCCCCTGGTATTGCAGGCGTTCATAGACTACGGTAACAATTTATTATCAGGTGGGCCGTATGCTTGTTTAATTTTGCCATTTCAGTGGTATATATATATATATATATATATATATATATATATATATATATATATATATATATATATATATATATGTATGTATATATATATATATATATATATATATATATATATATATATATATATATATATATATATATATATATATATATATATATATGTTACGTAGAAATCTTTTATATCAAATGGAAAATCTGTATATTAAGACCTCATTTCTATTGGTTACCTCCCGAAAATTATTGATTTCCCCCTGTGTAAATTTTGTGGATTTCCTGGAGTGGAACTTTCCTTATTATGCATCATTCGAATATTGTGTATTATTTCATTAGTCTTTTTATTATATATTATTTTTATTTCAGTCGTTAACTCTCCACTGTTGAATATTAGCCTCCCTCATAAAGTTTGCCAGTAGTTGTCACATTTGGCAGGCGGGTTGGTAAGCGCAGGTAGGCTTTTACAGATGTTTTAAGAGGGACGCTGTTGCCCATCCCTCTACCATATGCTCTCTTAGTCCCACCTTACGATACCCACGGCAAAGAAAGGGATGGTCCATTCTATACCGGGGCCTACCCGGCGATAGATACTCTATTTATATAATCTAAGTTTCATTATATATTTGTTTCATTGACATATATTCTGATCTTATATTATACATCTTTCATTTTTTCTGAATACTCGAATTTCCTAATGATATTTAATTTATAATTAACAAAATAACACGCTTGATCATATACTATACCATACACTCTTACATTTACTTGAAGTTGAAGCACTGCAAGTGATGTTTATGGCGGGGCTTTGCGCATGGAACGTCACATGCCAGGCATCATATTTCTGTCGTTATAGCATTAAACGTCCTGGAAATTTGTGTAATGTTAGTGTGTGTGTTTGACATATTTTATGACATTACTGCGGATCAATTATTTTATTTAAAGGTTTATAAGATCTATATATTTACTTCTAAGTATTAATTATTTTAGATAGTTACTTAATTATATTTCAACTGTCATTACTCATATAAATATTAAAATTTATAAAGATGTTTTTACTCGATCGCGCTTAAAATGCTAAAAGGATATTTACATCATGTCTTAACCAAAATAAAAAGATACTTTTATCCCATTTTATACGAGAAAAGCAGAATCTTACAGGTAGTTATCTATAATTGTAATTTTTTAAATAAAATAATGCGGAGTAAAATATACGTTATAATAATTAGTAATCATAAAATTAAACTAATAGTAAAAAATATTATTAATATTGTTATGAAATGTAGAAGTCTACAAGAATTTTACTACTATAATATTAACTTACCATTAGTAACAAAAATTATAATATTGAATATTCATATGTCCATTTAATTAGAACCCGGTCCCTATGTTAGAAAATAAAAATTTGTACAAAAGCATTGTTAAGTTTGAGATAAGTAAACTTTCAATTGTTGAGGTGTAGGTAAGCATTCAGAGTAGGTACAGTTGTAGAGAGCAGAGGGGAAGGGGAACAAGACAAGCAATTTGTAGGCGTCAAGTGTTTGCTGAAGTGTTGGTACGGCATCGCTAATGAGGGAATCGGTGAAAGTGCTCGGAGGATGTAAACCACAGAAGCCGCAGAGACCTGCACACTTGTCTACTATGTTTGCATTTGCTATGTAACCTCCTGCACTTACTGCTTTTACTCTTGTCCTCTGTGTCTACTGGCAAATCAACTACAGTTCTAACGTTAGTATTGATCTAGTAAATATGATGTATATTAGGCACCTACCAATATTTATATTATATTTATGAGATAAATAAAAAAAGGTTTCTTCAAAAATTGCATGTCTAGACGATATATTTTTAAACATTTGTAAATATATTTCAACGCATTTAACTAAAGACGTCACTGGCTGGTTAGAAATAAGCGCATTAATTTGTATTTTATACAACGTCTATGATTGAATGTGTTCTATTTTCAGTGCCGTTTTATAGTCTATTAGTTTATTTTGGGTTTCTTTTATTTATATATTGGTATATTGAATTGGTATAATATCCTAATTCTTAAATTATTTTTAACATGGATCATTTCGAGACTTCAAAGACATACTTATCAAACTGAACACGTACTTAGCAATGTTAAAATATAAATTAAAACTAGAAAATTTTCCGTGCTGTATTACTCCGTATTAATCATAATTATCGTAATGAAAATCTGCGAAATGTTTATTTGAAAGTATTTTAAGTTAATTTTGTTTTAAGGGGAAATGTTTCTTTACACTATTATGAGGTACTTGCACTATATAATTTTTATATTAATTTTTACCAGAGGGAGACTTTGTACAAAAGTCAATTGCTTGGGTACCTTTGTCCCATTCGTGTTTCTACCGTGAAGCAGTTGTGTTTGCATGGCTGTGTTTCGGTTTGAAGGGTGGGATATGGCGTAAATTTACTGGGTACAGAGGAGTAACACCTGAGTCCTCAGGAGTGGCAACGCAGGGGGGGTGTAATGGGCGAAACAGTATACTCTGTTATGTCCACGGTACTGCTCATGTCTATAGGCGACGGTTACCACTTTCCATCAGGTGGGCCGTCAGCTTGTTTGCCATTGTAAGTTGTATAAAAAAATCCTATACGAATAAAATTACATATTTATATAGAAAAATAATTTTATCAACTATTAATAATATTTTTAGATAAGAATATACCTACGTAAATCCAATTATCTAATGTTATAAATTACGAACATCGTACATAAAATATGTTACAGATGTATGAATAAAAAATAAAAGTGATAAAGTTACTCCAAGTGTCAACAACCACACAATAAGTAACTTTGAGTTCATATTGTAACTATGCATAAAAACATATTCTTGCACAATTGTAAAAAAAAGACCTATGTGCGTTATTATAATTTGAAGTTTAGATGCGTAGAAGATTATTATAATACTTTAAATCAAAGATATAACGTATCTTTTCATAGTTTGTTCTAAATGATATACGTTACATAATTGCATTTGATATGAAGTGACGGATGCAGAGCGGAGACAGGAGTCAAACCTGCTGAACAGGCTCAGTTCGACGGCCGAGTGGTCGAGCACTTGTCGCGAAGCCGCTCCACGTGTAATCTTGCCACCACTCTCCTGTAGTGCTGTCGTGACCTTGGATAGTTAAGATAGCTTTTAATGATAGGGCTCATCGACATGTGATATACACCGCTATGGTTACTAATTGGATAATGTCGGTAGGCCATGTTAACAATAATCCACATGTAATTCTGTAGTAGTCGACCCAGATTAAGTCATTTCTTAAGAGATATTTCAATTCATCTGTAGTATGAACGACACTGAATAAACTTTTAACTTTTAGACCTTTGAATATCCAGCTCAAAGAACCAATATTAAACCGCTAAATTCACTTCACATATGAAAACATTTAGAATTCTATAAAAACAAAAAGTAAAAAATAAGAGGGGAATATATTCAAAATAGAATTTAATTTATAATTATAAAAAGTAACATTCTTTAAAAAAAAAGACATCTATCGACTTTATTTAATACGCATGAATGCTAATAAAATTACACTCCTCATTAAATTCATCTAAGATTATTGTAATTCTACTCGTTTCGATACTTATTTACTGATTTTTAACTAAATTACGAAACTGAAGGTTTTCTCTATAAGTGGTTTGTAATATACATGCATCTTAATTTTTATGCAGTTTGCATCTTAGTCAATAAATTACTGAAAATTTCAACAATTTGCATAAATTTGCAAAAGCAAAATGAATTTATTAGTAATAAAATTATTTCAATTCACAGAGTTGCAGTGAATAATTTTATATACCTATTTAATTGAACTACGATGTAATGATAACGTTATTTGGAGATTATAATATTTTTCAAAAAATAACCTATGTTGCATGTTTGTAATGCACTATTTCTGTGCCCAATAAAAAACACCTGCTTTAAGTCCGTCAAACCCGTCGACAAAACGCAATACACCTTTATCGTGTCTATATTGACCGGTTTCCTTTTGTTGAAACTCGGAGCCTGTATACTGTGTAGTTTAATAATTTCGCTGTGTAAAGACGCCGAGGCCGCACTATGCTTAGTTTGTTTGCTCGCCTTCAGTCCTGTTTGCACTCAATAAGCCGCTGCAAACAGTTTCTTTCATTTGATCGATCCTTTATCTAAATTTTCTACCACTAGTTGTGCCTGGTAACAGATAATTTGATAGTTTTTAGTAGATTATATTTTGTAACTAGCCGTTTTCCGCGTCGTTGTCCGCTTCTATGTAGTTCCCGTATATCACTTTTATTGGAACATTTGATGAATCCGGTCTTATATTGTATTGTATACTTAAATGATAATTACTACCTTCACAAAGTTTTAGCCAATTCAAATAATCAATTGTTTTACAGCATTTTATATGTGATTCTTTAGATTCATATAACTTTTTTATTTATGTAGCGATTGAAATAAAACAAACTAAATATTAAACGGAGCAAACTGCAATGGGGTCTACTGCTTTTATAAAGCCCCCCTATAATAGTTTTTTTTTTTTTATATTTGTATATATCTTCCATGTACAGACAACGACCAGTTACCATTTTATTATATGTATTGATTGATGAACAAAAATGTATTTAGAGTAACACCTACAATTGGATCAATAAATTAATTCTAAAACGATGTCAAAAATCTTTTGAGTTTAATAATTATCATAAACAAATTATACTAACCGATCATTAGTAAGTTATTGCTAAATATGAGTCTTCTTAAATACATGACTCTAAAGACTGTACCAGCCTACCGCCTTCTAAAACTGCTATTTGACGTAATAAAATTATATTCGGCTATATTTTTAATAACCAAATATCTAAGTCCTTGAATAACAATACAATATATATACATAAAGAATAATATTACAAGAAAAATACATTTTCAAATTATTTTAGAATATAAAAACTTAAATCAGATTACGACCGAAATACCCAAATCGACGATATCCTAATTTTTAGATAATTAAATCGCATATATCCAAAATTTGTATAACTGAACATTAAACCTGAAAACTGATTATCTAACAGAATAATATTACATACATTTTATAAATTTGTCAGATATTACACATAAAAGTCTATAATAATACCGTTTGAAGGTACTTTGGTTAGCATTTTTAAATGAAACAAGATATGTACTGTATTTGCATATTTAAAAAATTCCAAACAACATCTATTCTAAGTAAGTCCCAAGTTCAAGACATGAGTGCACTTGTGTTTCTCCGCCTCTACCTACAAGTGGTAAAGGCGTTTGTTTTTACAAAATATCGTCTATATTTTCTAAATTTATGTTTACGAGAAGTCTTGATTTTTCACAAAGTGTATATTTTGTAAGTTATGACTGGTGTGTTACGATTGATAACATGAAGCCAAGACCGTTGTGTAGTCAAACAAAACAAGAGAAATAACCGGAAGAGAGCTCTCGTCTCGAGAAACAACACATCACACTTGATGGATGACCTCTTGCGTCTTTAGAAATACACACATACCGATAGCAAATGTAAAAAGAGTATGGCCTTTTTATTTGTATTTAGTTGCTGGTATTCTTAGGTAGACTTAAGTCTCATAGTAGTAAAAAAGAAAAAAAATATAATTTACTAATCAACTTAAGTTGATTAGTAAAATATAATTACAATATGATCATGATCTATTATTGTACGTTTCACTACTGAAACAGGACACTATATTTTTATATAGAGGATATTGTCTTGCTTTTATCATATATATATATATATATATATATATATATATATATATATATATATATATATATATATATAAAGAGATATTTTTTGGAGTGTTGCTTTAATAATAATTAATATTTTATTATATTTTATAATTATTATTTTATATAATATTTTATTTACTAAATTATTATTAAGAACGGAGTTGTCAGTTTAAAATTGGTATAGTGCCGTTATATATTATGCTTTAGGTAGTTTAGTTCAAGATCCCGAAATCTATAAAGTTATGTAAAGTATTATATTTTTTTTAATTAGTAAATGAAGCAACTGATAACTTCATATAATGTTAAATAAATAAAAAATCACTACCGCATTGGCAATTTCAACTCATTATTATATTTGTTCTGATATAGTAGATACCTTTCATCCAAACAGTTTATCTAGCAAAGAAACGAAAAGAACAATAATCTTCCCATCTAACAGACCAATATCCCTTAATTCTCATAAGCAAAGCTGACCGATCATAGAGTAAAACTTTTTTTATTACAATAACAACGTAGCCGATAAGTCGACAGCGGAGCGTGCCAGTATCATTGTTCCGTCTCAGTTTTCTCATATTTTCCTTCCTCATTCCACCGCAACTTACGCCGGAGTTCAACTTGATGTTAATTAACTCGTCTCTAGTCTGTGCACTGTACCCACCTTGACAGGACCCGCAACTGATAAACTGGCGTTAATACTTGCCCCTCCCGCTGAGAATATCTCAATCTACTCAACGGACTAGGTGCTTAGCAATATAATAGATACTGTAGTTATAGACTTCTCTGTAAATTTCCATTATCTAGCATAAACTTAAGCTAACAACCGATCGATATTGTTACAATTATTTTTAGATATAACCTATGCGTCTCATTTTTTTTAAACGTCCTATTTTGTAATATTTTATCCTATTGGATTTGAAATGAGATATTTATGGAAATAATACAAATTGTCACAATTTTTATTCATAATTCAACATTGCTTTTTTGTCAATCATTTAGTAAACAAAGTACAAACCAAGTACGTGCAATTTTAGATAATAGCTGCGATACTATTATTATGATCGAGTCTTGGATGGCAAAAAGGAGATGGAAGAGAGTAGGCATTATAACTACACACACACACACACACACACACTATAGTACAACTACACCTGCGTAACAGTGCAGTAATATTATAATATATTCCAAAGCAACTAAAACAGTATTTTTAGTGCAAATAAAATAGGTAATGAAACAAATGTACTTACATAGAAGACACCTCTAGAACAATAAAATGAACACACATTTACGTGTACCGTGTTTCTAACGAGTCGAGGTATAGCCATCTGCGGCAGGTAAGCGAATACCGAGCTCCAGGTCACGCAAATAGGTTAATAGCTACCGAAAAAAAAGCCATAAAGGAAGCATAATCAAAGAAAAATGTTGCTACTCCTATTCAGTACGTCGCTATACAGCAAAACGGAAGTTGATTCAGAGTAATTGAAGAGGTGAATTGACCCAATTTTAAAGTATAAAGCTCATTCCATTTGATAAAGTATAAAATAAACTGTGAAGTCACAACATATCTAATAAGTAGATAGTAAAATCTCGAATAATCCTCTACTCCCAATGCAGAAAGAAGGAGTAAGTTAAGTAGCCTCGCCTTAAATGCCTGTCTTAAATTATTTTACTTATGTAAATAATAATGACTCCATTGTTATTTCATGCAAAAAAGATAACATAGAGCCTGCTTAAAATTAACCTCAAAAAATATATCAATATAAATATATAAGCCCTTACCAGATTCCAATCTCTATCAAGCAACTCTACAATTTCCAATTAAAATCTACGTAGCTACCTAGAATAAAAAAGCCAAAATAAAAAATGACGACCTCAGTGGCGTGAGAGGAAGAGGGAGACCGAGGCATAGTTACATCAGGCAGATCAAGGAAGGAGTTCGTGTCGTGTCGTATCAAGAGGTGAAGAGACTTGCTGAAAATCGTAATGAGTGGCAAGAGCTCCACCGATAAGAGAGCAGCTCTTAAATAAGATAGATAGATAGATAGTGGCGTAGTGGTGAGCAGATTGCTTTACGAAAATGAGGTTTTGAGTTCGATTTCCACTTGGACCAATTTAAGAAACAAACAAGTCCTTGAGGATCAGGGAATTAGTGTGTTTATGTCTCACATATTATTATTATAAATGAAGATGAAATAGAATAAAATTATGAAATATCTAAAAGTTATTTCACAGTGATTGCAAAATAGTATTATACATGAAATAAGAAATATTATAAAGTTTTTTTTTTTTTAATAAAGACAGTAATTTTATGAGAATCTATTTGATCGAATATTAACTCACATAAATGTAGCGCAATAACCCACCCCAACTCC